AAAGAGAAATTAAAGAGGAGGTCGATGACTGAGGTTTGCACTTTTTATAGCTGTAAAATTTTGCTGATCATTCTAAGAGTTCCATGAGTTTGCTTGTTGCTTGGTCATGTAATTTGGTTTTTCTGATCCGAATGTAACAATTAATAGAGATGTGTTAAATTTTTATATGCAGTTCTAGACACGAAACGAGGCCTACAAGAACGGTATTGGAACTTGGTTGTCAGAAATATTATACGTTGATTCAAGACTATATTTGATTTATGAATAATCATCGCCTTCGTTTTTTAATATAAATTTAGAAGGTAAAGGCAATTACAAAATATGTAAAGTAAAATGAAACAGTCCTTCAGCTGAATAATCTCTCAAATAATTTTATTTGAAGTGAGGGACACCTTGTTGGACACGCTTCTTTAACACTTTCTAATGATCCAAATTGTCTATATTTTAGTATTGCTCATAGATTATTCATGCAAAACATTAGACAAATTCATAACCATTAAAATATCCAATTGTAGTAAAGTAAATAGACAAACACGGTTTTTCAAAGAAACATTAATATAACTCCTATTTAATTCCATGGTCAAGCAGTTTCGGATTTGAATAATTTTTGATAAAAAATGATCTTTATAGGAAGACTTAAAAGTTGGGCAAGTTCGAATGTCGAAATACAGAGCAAACCTTACAAAAGATCGCTTAAATAAACTTATCTTGAGGGAATCCTCAACGGAACAGAAGGGAAAGCGACTGTAAAATGAAAAATAGTAAATGACACATACAATCCAACTAATGTTGTTTGAATGTTGGAGCATTTCAAAGAATTCCACACTCGTTTCTCCTCTTTAAATAATTGGAATAAGGTATGGCTTAGTAGCTTACCTTCAACGGTGACTTATTCTATGAAGTAACTTGAATTATCAATATGGACTTAAGGTTCGTTGGGATGTGCTACTTTATAAAGCATTTTTACTCATTAGTGCTTTTTGTTTGTAGCACTTTTCAATAGCGCTTTTATGAAGAAACAATTTGTTGTTTGGCATGTATCCAACTAAGTGCTTTTAAAATATTTGCCAAACGGCTGTTTTTTTAAACTGAAGCGCTTTTACTCATCTGGAAATGCTTTTGGCTCTTTCAAAAGCACAACCAAACAAAGCCTTATTTGATAGTCAACGTGTACCGGTGAACCGGCTTTAAAAACAAAACATGTTACTGTACATGTGAATCGTAGAATTTTTCAAATAAACGAAAAATTAGATTTAGACACCTCATTTAATTTTTTTTAGATTAAATAGTGCTTTTCAACTTTAGATTAGTTCTTACACATTTTATTAAACCCTGTATTTCAAGTATATTCGTAATTAATGTGCTTTTCAAATTCACTTAAATTCATTTTATGTCAAAGATGCACTTAATAATATTAGTTAATTTATTGCTATTCTTACGAAGTCTCGTGTGTGACATCATGTCCCAAGCTTTAACGTATTTTATTCTTAGTAGTAATGAAATTATTAAAATACTCCTGAGATACTATTTAGGCCTTCTACGTGGACCTCAATTTTTCTTTTACTTTTCTAGTCTTATTTTACTATTTGGCTAAATTGCGAAAATTGTTCCTGAGATTTGTATAACACATCACTTTTGTCCCTGAGATTTCAAATCAATAGAAGTGGTCCCTGAGATTGTCCACCATCCATCATTTTCGTTATTCCGTTAAAAACTCCATTAAGTGTTTCGGAGCTCTTGGCCGGAAGTTTGGGCAATTTTCAAAACTTCGTAACTCAATCATTTCTTAACCAAATTTGACCCATAATATATCAAAATGAAGATAGGAAAGTGTAGTATAAGATTATACCTATTTAGAAGCCCAATGGTTGCTGGAGATGGCCAGAAAATAGCCTCAAAGTTGACTGGTCCAAGGGAAAACTGGAAAACTCGTCGGAAACTGGGTAAACTTTAAACGTTCATAACTTCTTCAATACTCAACGAAATCAAGTGATTCAAAAACCGGACAACGCCTTCCGCCCACTCCCTCAAAACAGAGGCGGCAACCTTCAAGCCAGCCTCACAGGGCGCCTAGTCGTGCCCTGAGGCGAGCCTTTTAAAACATTGATATATATATATATATATATATATATATATATGTAATATCATTTGGAGTGAATTGGTACGTTTAAAAATCATTATTTTGTTTTTTTTTGTATGTTAAAAAAACCTTTATTTTTTTTACACCCACAGTTCAACTGTTTTTGTTGTTGTTATATAGATTTTTTTTTTTGAAATATACTGAATTAATGGGACATAAATTAACAATATCTTCTTTTGTAAGGTTTTAAAAATTTGTTATATTATTGTTGACCCTAAAAACTACCAAACCTACGTGGCGCGCAGACCGAGTAATCTATGAGCTAACTACGTCCTTTGGTTGAATGCGGGGCGTGCCAACTCGTCGGCCAAGCTCGGCCGAGGAGTAAAATATGATGTTGCGTTGGGTGCACGGCTGACTTCTACGTCTTGCGATTGCGACCGAAGAAGGAACACGTCTCGGCCTCCTGGGTTCTCAAACCTGAAGACAAGGCTACTATTCTTACGAAGTTCACAAATCGTCGTCGTTGGATTCGGTCACTGTGATGGTATCCGTCAAAGTAAACTCACGCCGAATCGACACCAAAGTGTAAGGGCACAAATACTCAAAGTGGATATAAGTCTTAACAGTAAACGTGGTTCGGTCGTCGAAGTGCCGAACTCTAAATCCCACTTGAGAGTATCCAATCATAAAATAACTCGGTGTGCTATGTGCCGAGCCCAATAAACTGTAACACCTCACTTCGCCGAAAAGGCTGATGAGATGACCTCGACCAACAAGGATTCGGAAATCCTTCTCGACCGAGCCTTGGATAGATAACCAGTCACCCTCAACGCAGTACTGTCTATGCCGACTAAAGATGTTGCGAGATCAGTTGATTCTACGACGACAGTGCTATTTATGCCAACTAAAGATATCACTGGTTGCCTTCACAGTGCTGTTTATGCCAACTGAAGATGTGTCTGCGAAAAAGAAAAGAAAAAATCTTAAGGTTGTTGAGAGAATTTGCGCAGGGTAGTTGTGTGTTGAATTGGAAGGGTTTTTTTCGTTGTCATTGCATATGTATTTATAGTGATTGTATGCTTGCTTGGCATGGTTAAATAATTGTGTAGAGTCTGACTGCAACTCTAACTAGTTGAAATAAATCTAATTCGTGGCCTTCAGATTTCGCAACTTCTAAAATAAAGCTTATCTAGGCCTTGTCATACCACATCAGAAACCTAGCCCATCTAGACTTTTGATCTAATTAAAAAACCTCCAGTAGAAAACTTTATCACCATGCAAAAACCTAGTCTACCTAGGTTTCTTGTATCATCATTACCACCTAGGCTTATCACATCTCCACCAAAAGCTTAGTCTTCCTAGACTCCTTGTCTTATCCATCACCCAAGGCCATCATCATGTATCCTGATCCTACCTAAATAAATTTTAAAATCCATTTTGAACTGTACCGTACACCCACATCCGGATATCAACTTGAATTGTGCTGACATGTTTCCAGTTGGAAATACATCTCATCCTTCATAATAAACTATTATTAAAAGATAATTATGATAAAACATCAAAACATTATCCTTTAATAATAACAAAATGAATTACCTCTATTTCTCATTCGATGGTGTGAAGCTATGCTCACTCAACAGCCTCGATTACGCAGGGCGAAGGTGTAAATTCGGGTCCAAACAATTATACTGGATTTAATTAATAAATTAATTATAATAATAATTTATATAATTGAAATTAAGTAGTAAATAAATTAAAATTGTAGAAAAGTAGTTTCATCGAATCTCAAAAAGCTCTAGAACCACCACAAGGTGGCCTAGTGGTTAGGAATGAATTCTAGGCTAGTATTCTATACGGCACGTCCTGGGTTCGATTCTTGCCACTAGTGAATCACATGATGGTGGCCAGAGGGAGGCTGAATTGCCTCTGTGAGTCTTTCGGCCCCCAAAAACAGTGGACTACCATAGCGAAGCCACCAGTGGGTCCCCCCTTAAAAAAAACATATTACTTAAGTGTTGATGATGATATGATTATTATTTAAGTGTTGATATGGTGTTTATTTCCTTGCTGACACATCACATGGTTACAAATTTAGTCTAAAAGGCTAATTTACCTAGCATTACTCATTTAAATTTCATCAGTAGGACTGAATCATTCATTTATCGTGTTAATTTTGTAAGTATTTTCTTTTTATGTGTACTTCTTTTGTTTAACATATGCATCTTTTATTGGCTACTTTAGTTTTTGTGTGTTATAACCGTAATATATTACAGCCATTTATCCAAACGTATCTCCCTTTTTAGGTTAAAATATGGACTAGTTGTAGGGTCCATTCCACGATGAACTTCAATGATTCAAACTGTCTATTTTTGATCTCGATTTATAGATCATTCTTGCAATAATTCAATTTAATCCGAAATCATATATGATAAATTCAACATTATTATGACATTATATATAATCTTAATCTAACAGTGTTGGGTATTGTTAATATCAACTAGTAATAGTATTAATCTGTAATGTTAGGTAGGGTTGGATCGTAAATTAATTTGATGAAAATGGGACTTTGATTAGGGCAGGGAACAAATATCATTTGTTGGTTGTTTGTAATCGTCAACTATCAACAGTTTAATAGACAAAAGAAGTGTTGATTGAGACGAGACATCCGATGAGACAGTAACTTTCATCCGCTATTATCTGCATCAGCATCTTGGCATCCGCATCAACACTCAAGTAAATGGGAGATCTTATATTATTTTTAAATGAGATGTCAAATTTTGAATTTAAAATTTAAAATTTAACAACTTATGTAGCATTTTGATATATTTTTATGTTTTGCTCTCTACCTGATATGTCAAATTAAATTTTTTTTTCTTCTTAATTTCCATCTTGTACTTTAAATTTTACATCTAAATAATTCATAATAAAAGTCATATTAATTAATTCAGCCACAAATAATCCAACAAAATACAACCCCTTAATTGAAAATAGAAGAAATAAATACCCAACTCAATATTCATCACTTCTAAGAATTTTCATTTTAAGTTGGGAATAATATAGTCGTTCTTCATCGTCCATGTCACTTGTGTCCATAGACATAATTTTTGTCTAAAAATCAAGTCGATTAAGTCGAGTTTTTGTTCATCGTGCTCAACTTTCTTCTTAATAAGTTCCATTTTCCTCCCATCTCTTTCTTTTTTCTCCTCATGTAACTTTTGAATTTGCACCGAAATAGGTGTGGAGTCGTTCTTCGCGGCTTCTTTCATTTTTATCTTGGCAGCCTTGTTTCCTAGTGGCCTTTTCTCAGTATCAATGTTGTCATCTTCAATTTCTACTATTGTTTTTGAAGTAGAATTATTTTTCAAAGATTCTACGACTTGTAACCACTTTGGTTGGTGCCTCAACAAAACCCACGCATGATCAAGATTGAATTTTTTTTGGTGTAGTGCTTCATACGTAGCCTTCGCATTTGCAATCTGAAAAATAAAATTCCACACGAGAATAAATATGTATAATTAAAATTAAATACATCAACACTATTTGATTTACCATGTCTTGCTGAGTTGCGCCACTCTGGTTATGCTCATATAAAGTGGCAAGACATGCAGAAAATCTATTGACCTCCTTCTGGATTTTTTGCCATCGTTTAGACAACATTCGGCCCGTACGATTACTCTCGAACCACTTGTTTTGGTTTAGTACTCCTCAATTCGTTGCCAATAAGTTTGATGTTTTTGGTCATTTCCAATTATGGCATCCATGCTAGTATTCAACCATGCACTAATAAGAACATGATCCTCATCTTTGTTGAACCCAGCACCACGAAGAACTTTTTTCTTGCTTCCAGACGATTCCACATCGATTTGTTCAGACACTTGACTTGAAAATTGAGATTGTTGCGAAGAAAAATCTGGAAATTCAAAAAATTGAGAATCCGTAAAGTTGCGGATGAGCGAAATGTTGCAAACGAGAGATACGAAAAGTTGTTGCAAGAGATGAAGAGGGGAGTTGGAGGAGATGATAACGATGCGGTTATGGAGCTTATGAGGAAGTGCAGAGGTTGAGAAAAACGAACACTTTCGAGGATAGAGGAGAAAAAAAATTAATAAAAGACATTTAATAATTAGTAAAAAAAATTTGAAGCTTGTCAAATTTGACGGTAAACCCTTTTACTGCCATTCCATGTCATACTACATAGGATTTGACAATTCAGTTAGAAACAATTAGTGGCTGTTTTTTTTTACTGTTAAAGCTTATATGGACAATTTAGCATCTCCTTTGGAGACGCTCTTAGGTTTCATTTTAGTCAAAGATGAATTTGAATCATATTATTACAAGTTATATGAGGCTGAGCCACCTCCTCGCCCTTATGGTAAATAATATTATTTGTTAAAAAAATAATATTTAGTTTTAAATTTTTTTCGTGTTTACTAACACATAAAGAATCCAAAAAGTTATTACTTTCTTTTAAAACTTGTAATTACCATCAATCATATCAACTAGACAGATAGTTCATCTGATTCTCTTCATTATTTTTACTATTTTTAAGCTCTTCGATTCCCTCTTTATTTCATTGCTGTCATGTAAACATGACGTGAAACTACATTATTTCATTTGCAACAAACTAGGCTTTGAAGCATGTTATTTTAATATTTAAAAGGGAAAACAAATATTATTGACTCTAAGATACAAAGACACCGTGATTAAAAAAAAAAAAGGTAAATTACATTTACCTTTTCAGGTTAGGGGTTGATTTCAATTTCTTATAACATTTTTAAAATATTTCACTTTCATACCTCAAATACTATTTTATTTCAATATTATACATCTGTTACATTTTCCATCATTTAGTCGGTTAAAAGCTAATGTGACTGCCAAATTTATGCCACATGGTAAAAAATATTTTTTTATGCATTTAAAATATTATAATAATTTACCCTATTAAAATAAAATAAAAACCTGAAACCATCTTCCCTGATCCTTTCTCCCTCTCCTCCCATCCAAAAAACCCACCCCTTCCTTGCAACCCAAATCCCCCATCCCACCCCACCCCACCCCCACCCACCACCACCAACCCCCCCCCCCCCCTTAATACCCTATTAAAATAAAATAAAAACCTGAAACCATCTTCCCCTATCCTTTCTCCCTTTCCTCCCATCCAAAAAACCCACCCCTTCCCTGCAACCCAAATCCCCCATCCCACCCCACCCCAGCCCAGCCCACCAACCCCCCCCCCCCCCAAAAAAACCCAAATTACTTGTATGAAAACCTGAAGAAAAAAAATCCCCCATTCCCCAGTTGTCGACGGTGCAGACAGTGATGGTGGTGCAGTCATGATGTGGGCAGCAAGGTGGGTGAGGGTGAGGTAGTGGTTAAAGGTCGAGAACTGAGGATTTTGGATCTGGGGATTTTAAGGGGTTTGGGGTTCAAGAGAAAGAGTGAGGAGAGTGGAGGAAGGTTGGCGTGTAATGTTGTGCGCTTCGGTGAGGGTGGTGAGGAGTGTGAGCGTGAGGAGGAAGGCACCGGCGGTGAAGAGTGTGAACGTGATGGGGATTCTGGGTTGGGGGTGTGCTTAGGTAAGGAGAAAGGGTGGGGAAGACGAATTGAGTTTTGGTTTTTTTTTTTAATTAGTTAATTTAAATTTTTAAATTTTTTATTAAGTGTTTAGCCATGTGGCAGCCACGTCAATACAAATGGGGACCCCTTATTTGCCAACTGTTTACTTAACAGATTTTCTCACGGATATATGAAATTGAAAGGTATGAAAGTGAAATGTTTTAAAGATGTTGTAAGGAATTGAAATCGACCGCAAACTTAAGGGGATAAAATGTAATTTACCCAAAAAATCATAGATATAGGATTCTTGACAGAAGACAGAGCATCAGTTTTAACGTCGCGACTCCTGACATGCCGATGCTGTCACATCCAGGCCCGTGCCCCCACCACTTCCAGGGCTCGACTCCACTGTAGCATGATATTGTCCGATTTGGGCCTTGACCACGCCCTCACGATTTTGTTTTTAGGAACTCACACGAGAACTTCTCAGTGGGTCACCCATCCTAGGACCGCTCTCATCCGAACTCGCTTAACTTCAAAATTCCGATGAAATCCGAAGCCAGTGAGTAATGAGTTCCCAAAAGGCCTCGTGCTAGGTAGAGATGATAATATACATATAAGGCTTAGATGATCTACTCCCCTGGACGATGTAGGATGTTACAATCCACCACCCTTAGGGGCCCAATATCCTCGTCGGCACACATCCAGCCAGGGATTGGCTCTGATACCAAATTGTCACATCCTGGCCCGGGCCCCCACCACATCACAGGCTCGACTCTATTGTAGCATGATATTGTCCGCTTTGGGCCCCGACCATGCCCTCACGGTTTTGTTTTTGGGAACTCACACGAGAACTTCCTAATGGGTCACCCATTCTAGGACCGTTCTCGTCCGAACTCGCTTAACTTCAAAATTCTGATGGAATTCGAAACCAGTGAGTTCTCAAAATGCCTCATGCTAGGTAGATATGGGCATATACATATAAGGCTTAGAGGATCCACTCCCCTGAACGATGTGGAATGTTACAGATGTCGATAGAAACCATCATGCATATTATTGTTCAACGACAAGTTGTATAAACTAGCACCATTATATTTATTTGTAATTTGTAAAAATAAAAGGAATATTACACAAGAGAATCATAATAAGTGGGAAGTAAGAGGTTAAGCCTTATATTTGACCAACGGAAGGTATAAGAGAATTATTATTATTATTATTTTTATTTTTATGAGTCTAAAATGGGAAGAGAAAATTATGTGCAAGAATAAATGATGTTGAGTTTTATGAGATAGTTAGGGGGTGGGTATAGGGCATCCATTGGTATAAACTACTAAATAAAGTATGTATTGTTATTGTTCGATATTGTATCACTAACATGTACGTTCTTGTGAATGAATGCGTGCCAATTATGAGCTAATTACGTCAGTTGGACAAACAAATATATGTGGTGCTGGTGGGTGGTGGTGTTAAATGTTGACTTCTGTTGTTGAACAATTACGGCCAAGGAAGGAACACTTCTTGACCTTATTCTAGAACATGAAGACAAGGTTGTCTAGATCATTGCGAGTTCATGATCTCCTACACCAGGTTCGGTTGCCTCGATTATATTCATGAGAATATATGTGCACCAAATCGGTATTAGGGACATGAGCATTAAAAAAAGAGAAATGTTTTATGATGAACGTCTGAATGCTGAACTGCAAAATGCACAAAAGAGTGATACCGATTCTACAGGAAGCTAATGAAGTGACCTCTTACTAGCCAAGACTTGGATCACTAACCAGCCAGAAGCAATGATAATTAGTATTTTGGGTTAAGATAATTAGTGTTTTTTCCCAACAAATGTGATAAGACGTTTTACATATTAAGATATTACTGTTTTTTTCTCAACAAATGTGATAAAACGTTTCACATAGCTCGTAAATTTTTGCATAAAGCATTTGAGTTGTTTATTAAGTTGGAAAATGCCTTCTGAGTTGCACGGTCACTTGTATTTATAGGATTAATACGCTTGAACGTGTTGTAGAGTCCATACGGTGACTACCAATTACCTTTTGATGATAACCAAAACCATCTTCCGTCCGATGGTATCACTAAAATCATCTTTATCCTAATTGACACTTGGCGTGCTTCCAGGAGTAATATCCTAAATAGATCTTTTCCATCAAAACCTATCAATCAATTAATCCGGACTATTGAAATTTAATTAAACGGTTATAAACAGTGATCCTTTAAAAAATTATAATTTTAGTCATTCGATCCAATTTTAAGAGTTCTGATTAATTGATTGATGAGATTTGATGGGAGAGATCCTATACTACCCTTTCTTCCCTCAATGCCACGTTGAAAAGTCATCCCTTTAGTAATCCCTTGCCAGCACACGGATCCCCAAAACAACTAGCAATGGATAATGCATGATTTTCTGAGCTCATAAAAAATATTAAAATTTAATTGAGGACTCTGAGGATCTTTATAAACAGTACATGATGAAAATTGGTTGCATAATGTACGATGAACGAACACGATGTGAGGATCCTTACAAAGAGGATACTCGTTCAATTTAACTATTTAACACCACAATATTCCTCTTTACTTGTAAGGAGATGTCTTAGGTTCAATTCTATCCAAAGGCGATTTTGAACCATATTATTGCTAGCACATTATGAAGCTAAACTCACCCATCCCCTTAGATTATATCGTTTGCTAAAAAATATATATTAAAATTTAAGAGCCTTAATTTAATAAAACAACGATGCAAAAAAAAAAAAATGTGAGAGGTCTCGAGTTCGATGCTCCGAGTTGGTGAGTCTGTTTGACTATGATCATGGGCAGAGTGAAATTCTTCGTAGCATGAATAACAGTAATTTACTATCAATTATCTTTTTTTTTTAAGATAAAAAAAAAAAGAAAACAATTAATTCAAAAGCGGGTTCAAACAGTACAATAAAAAGAAGAAACAAGATAGCAAGCGTTTGGTGTTTTCACGTAACAGTAATGACAATAATAATAATGCAGCTTGACTTGCTGTCACTGAGTCCGATGTGTATGAGAGCGGACTTTACGAGTAACGTTGTAATGCAAGTTGCTATAGCCATATATAATAATCTGCCATATTTACCAACTTATGCACTTTGCTAGATATTATTTGAGTGGAAGGGAGGGAACTGGGAAGCACAAGACGTGACCGAGAGGAAGTGGTGGTGGCCTGGCCTGGCGTGGGCATGGTGCGTGAGTTGTCAGTCACTGGTTCCCACTTTAACAACTTTATTTTAATTAAAAAATGTCTGCTGGTCTTTTTATTGTGGATTTGAGTCTGCTGAATAAGTAATCGTGATTGTTAAAATTTGATGTAATGGTTAAAATTATTATAATTTTATAGGATCTCTTATTTATAATTGTTTAATCAAATTTCAACGATCACGATTGTCTGCTTAACAAGTTTAGTTTTTTAAGGTACGGAGAGGATCCTGATCCTTTTATTGTTAGTCACGGGTTCCCAATTTGTCAACTTTATTTTAAAGT